CTGTGAGCTGCTTTGGCCTGGGCAGGTGGTCCCGAAGTCAGCCTCATGCCTTCCTCTAAGGGTTGAGGATGGGGAGCAGGTCTGTTGGTTGAAACTCCTTGTTCGGCAACCAGTGCAGCCTCCTGGTCAGTGGGGGCCTCACTGACCACATCTGGTGCCACAGACAATTCCAGGCTAGTCTCCGGCTTCTCACTGGCCGCCCCATTGGCTTCCGCCCCTGTGGGCAGCAGCAGGTGGCCAGGGGGCTGGGCCAGACCAGGAACTCCATTCCCCTGCCCTGGCACAGCCTCTGCCTGGGTGAAGCGATCAGATCCCATCCCTGAAGGGCTGACTGGGGGCAGCCTCTCTGCAGCCCCCTCTGGCAGGGCAGGCTTCTGGTGCTCTGCAGGAAAACAGGCGGAGTGAAAATGTACTCCCGCTGGGAGGACTGAGTCCCAGAGTCATCGTGGAGACTAAGCAGAGGCCACTCGGGACAGCGTGTTCACCTAACCTGGAGCAGTACAACATCTGTGGATACTGTGGGACCTCAGGCCCTGCTGTAAATGGGATAAAGCTAGGTGGATGGTATGCTTCTGCTCATCTAAGGGTGTGTGCGTGTGTGTGCGCGCACGTGTGTAATGCCTATTAACGTAGTCTAGAAATAAGGTGAAAACTTTGTACATGGGGAAAACAGGATGCAGGTGCCAAGGATAGAAACTCAATTTCAACCTCATGTTGTCAATTTGACTTTGGAGTCATGTGGCTATTATACAAAATTATTTTTTTTTATTAAACTTTGAAAAGAGCAACCTGTAACAATGTACAGCAAAGGAAAATAAACACATCGCAGCAGGCCACATAACATACACAGAGAAGAAATATTCCTGTGACTTTAGGGCAACCCAGATACGTAAGTCCCAGGCATATGATGTGAGATAGAGCAGATGGGGTCCCCCTCACCTTCCCAGGGCTCCCGGGTCTCAGCCTGCACATGCGTGGTGCTCACAGCCTGGTTTGGTTTTGCTTCTTTCTCTTCCACATACTCTTTGTTCTGAAAGAACAATCATGGCAATGATCAACCAGGCCACAGACATCGGTTGCGCCATTCTGTTCAAGACGGAAGCTGAGGCCACACAGCCAGGCTCATGTGGTAGCAGCACTAACTGCTGCTATGGCCGTTGTAGACTGAGGACACAGAGACTTTCCCCTGGTCAGCAAGCCCTTTCTGATAGGTCATCACCGCTCTGCTGGTAAGGGGCAGACCTGGCCCTGAGAGGGGGTTGAGTGGACCACCCCTCAATATCTTAGACCAGGGATGGAAATAAAGACCACCTTAGCATACCGAACTCAAGCCAGTGGGTCACCAGAGTGTTGCTTAAGGCTGGACTGTGGGAAGAATGCCACCGTTGGCTTGACATTCGTCCGGCACTGGTGTGTGGGTCCCACGATCATCCCACATGATTCTCAAGAAAGACTTAGTGGGCTCTAACCCTACCATTACTGCTTTTGAGCAAGATCCTCAACTTCTCTACATCTTCCTTTCTTTTTAAGATTCATTTTATTTATTTATACATACGACAACAGGGTGCTGGCCAGAAGTGTGGGGGTGGGGGGTGAGAGGATTCACCAGAGACAGAGTGGGGAGCAGAATAGAGAGATTGACTGAAACACACTGCTGAGGGGAGCAGTAGGGAGACAGGAGAGGTCTGCTGTGCCCTGTGGGTCACTCCCTGGCTGGGGTTGAAACTCATACTGCAGTGGCTGCGGACAGCTGATAGTGCTGAGCCTTACCCCCGGCACCACCAGGGAGCCTCCTCTGCATCTTACTTTATTCATCTGTAAAATGGGGAGAATAATAGCTGCCTCATAGTGTGGGTGGGAGTGCTGGGGGCACTCTCCTGTGGGCTCCCCAGAACTGTGCCAGCAGGGGGCTGAGGAGAGCCTGAGACAGAGTCGCCCACCCTGGGGCGCTCTCTGCAGCTCTTCCTGACTGCAAATGGCCCACTCCATTCAGTGCTTTCCTTTCTGAAACAGCCAGGAGCTCTGTGTATTTCTAAGTGCAAATATTGCTAGATATTTTCCTGGCCCTTGCTTGGTGACTGGGTGTTTCTGGGGGTTCGGCGCTTCGACTAGCACTGCCCCAGGCTCCTCCCGAAACCTGCCACACTCCTGCTTCACAACACTCCTGCCGAGGACCCCTTTCCTGCTTTGAGCCCCCTAATTTGGGAGCCCAGAAACTCCGAAACAGCTAGAGGCAAAGTTTTCTGATTTGTACAGCATGTAAGTTTTCTCGATTTGCTACCAACCCTTTAAATTGGGGAGTTTTTACGTTAAAATTCTTGGCTCCCTTTCGGGTGATGGACTTGCTCGGTCTTTGCGGTGGTGCTTGTATACATCTGTTGAGCTGTACACTGAAAAGGTGCGCACTGAGTGTGTGTCACTTGTGTGCAAACTACCCCTCAGGAAAGCCAATGAGAAAAAGGCTCAGTCCTCAGCAGCACCGCCGCTCTGGAGGGGGCTCTCCTCTCTCAAACATGGTTCGGGCCAAGCTATTTCCCAGGATCTCTCCATCCTATTGCTTTCTCACCCCTTTGGGATTTTAGGCCCTGGCCTTTGCTCTCTTAATGGGAACACACAGGCCAGAGTCCAGCAGGTGAGCCCGGCACACACAATGGCTGCGCCCTCGTGACACCACCGGCCGGACCCCGCTCCTCTGCGTAGCCCTCTCCCCGCGGCCCTTCCACACTCTGCTGCCACTCCCAGAGCTGGGGGACTGGAGCATTATCACCAGCAGCCTCCTATTAACCCGACCAGTACACACTGTCCTTTGGCGGACCTGGCTGTGCTCCCCCTCCCTCTGTCCTTGGTGTGGGCAGACACGTGCACACGCAGGCGTCTGCTCTCTCTCAAGCTCTCACTCACTCTCTCTCTCTCTCTCACACACACACACACACACACACACACACACACACAGAGCAGAGCTTTGTCTTCAGGCCTCAACTTTCTGGTCCTCCTGGTGCATCCTGGGAAGGGGAGAGACCCCCAGAGGCCCCGGTGGCCATCGGAGGGACTGATGTGTTGTTCTGAGCTGCTTGCCTGCAACTTGGGTCCCAGAGTCAGAGCGGGGCTCCCGAGCCTGAAGATGTCCTTCACGAGATAATCTAATTCAGTGTGACAACCAAGAGGCCTGAGACCTTCACCAAGTTCTGGCAAAATGAGCAAATGTATTGGCCAGGGCTGGGATTTAACTCAATTCCACAGACAATGACTAGCCCCCCTCCCCCTCACCCCCAGCAATCTTAGAGAACATCAAGAGGAGCTCCAGAAAGTCTCCCTGACATGTATGTGGGTTCCTGCAGTGTGTGCCCTGACAGCGTGGGGCTGGGTCTCAGCTCACTGCCCATCCGTGGACACCTCCT